TGGCCCCCCCCCCCTCCACCCACGATCAAGTGTGTCTGTTTTTTGGCGGGGTCTACCTGGTAACCCTAGTCTTAGTTCAGAATCTTTTTATCTTTAAGGTAACAAGTGGCCTTACAGCAAAATGCAAGAAATCAATATTGCACAACAATGAATAAGACGTTCACTAGAGAAGTTTTTTTCCTTACTCCCATCAGTTACTGGTTGGCTTTTCCCTGAGACATGAAAATATATGTCCTCCTAAAATATTTCAATTGTCTAATGAAACTGGAATTTTAAACATCAATTTGTAATCCCTACAAACTCTTGGCTTCATTACTATCTTGTGGGTTTCATGTTAACTTTCTATTGTGTATTTCTTTTCATTAGCTTTAAATCAAATGCCTTTCAAGGAAAATGTGATTGTTTTTCATGCTGTTCCCAATGTCTAACCATAGTCAAATTTTTAGAATTATCATATAGTACAATGCATTAAAAGTTTTTTGGGGATGTTTATGGAGAGCTCCTTGCAAGAACAGGAGAAAGACCACCACATGCACTCATGGGAGAATCTGGCACAAAGGACAACACTCATCAGGTGAACGGAGGCAGATGCAGATATCTTAATAATGAATAAGATTTTTTGGTAGCGTGAGAAAGACCAGAAAGGGTTAAAAGTGAAGACAAGTAATTTGTGTGTGACTCACTGGAGAAGCAGAGAGATGAGAAAGGGGGAAGAAGCGGGAATGGTTGAAATGCCAAGGAAAATGAAGTACTGGGGACAGCTTTTGGATTGCATACATGTATGGCAACAGGACATGTTTCAAGGCTGGAAAGAAGGAGGAAGTTATGCAGGAGAGCAGCACATGCCAGGGGCAACGCTGGGCTATACTGAAAGGTCGCTCTAGGAGGTTACAAAGGAAACACTGATCAGGCCCTAGTTTGGAGTGATTCCTTAACTTCCTTATCTGGCGCAAAATTATGCCAAAATATGTATAATTTCTCCCGTGCCTCTATTTTCCATTAAGTGTCCCCTTTACTCCACTGTTGTTCAACCAAACCACTGCTTACAGTTTTCTTGCTTCTCATATTTAAAAATCTTCCTATTTGTTTTCAGATATTTGGTTATTTGCTCTTCAGAATTGCTTTTAGTTCCTCCTTAATGTACACACTTTTGCCAGCCAAGTTCCTTTGTACTGGTTTGACTAGAATTTGACTGCCATTTTCCAAAGGATCTCTTTTAGGCTTCAAAAAATTGTACCTTTCTATTTGGTCATACTAGTTTCCTTCTTGCTTTGCTACTTCCTGTCTGGAGGTTTACATGTTTTCTGTGACTCTGGTATGGTTTGATTAATTTCCAAATACGAATTGCAAATTTGTCCAAGCACACACAAAACTGCATATTGACAAGATACAGAAAACTGTCAATTCACATTCAACCATCAATGTTCTTACTTTTAAAAAGAATATACAATATTGCATACCGTTATTTTGTACTGTTTGCCATTCTGCACGCATACTCATGTCAGAAATATCGAATGTGAAAGGATGAGAATAGGGAGACATGTCTGGATCAAATGCAGTAACAAAAATCGGTTTTTTGTCTCTACACAGTATATAGTCAATTGGAGTCACAATGGGAGACCTGTTGCAAGGACCTATAGTAGCCCATGCTGTTCCAGTACCAGTTTTACCACCTAGGAGACAGAAATAATAAGTGTCAGTACTTTTAATGCTTTTAAAGTGCTAACTGTGGTTTCATCTAATCCAAGCTAGTACCTAGATTTTAAAAGTAAAAAGCAGAGGGGAAGTTTCACCATCTCTCTAGCTTGTCGGAGCACTGACTTCCTCCTTGGCTGGTGCTATGAGGATTCAGTAGGCAGAGGACTGTGAAATGAAGTCAGGAGATGAGGTCTTGCTTGGGAGCTTTTAGGTGCTTCTCAGCATTTCTGGCAGCAGAGAGAGCAGCATCCAGTTGGAGGGGAGGTGTTCCAGTTGCTATTCTCTTACTGACCCCCTCAGCTCTTCTAAAGAAAAATCTGCCCCTTGCTGGCTCTTCTCCCCTCTTTGCAAAAACAAAGCTGCCGGGAGACCTGCGACTGAGTGCTTTATCTCCCCTTTAGGGAAGATAGGTGAATCATTCATAATAGATTGTATGATAAAATCCCTGTCTTTAATGGACATAAGAGCTTTTACAATGCAGGCTATTCCATAGAGGATTTCAAAATCTTGTGGGAAAGAATCCTGCTTTTATCTCCAACCAGGGCCGGTTATACTTTCACATCCCTCATGAAAATCTGATTCTGTAAGCCTTAAGCACGACGAATAATATTTACCTGGTAATCCCAGGTAAAATAGGACTACTAATCTGAGTAAGTACTACTTATGGTCAGGGTTCACCAAGTGGCAGCGAGCCCCATTCACCAGCCGCACAGTTCAGCATGCTGCACATGCGCAGACCGCACTGCACGGCCATTCCGGCTTGTAATCTGCTTGCCGCAGGCGAGTATTTTACACTAATTGTCAAGCCCTGCTTATTGTGATAAGTGTTTAAAAATCTAGCCCTAGGTAGTTTACTAGAGAAGAAAGTCACAATATAATATAGAACACAGCAAACCAAAGTTATTCTTAAAAGTGCTTTTAACTCAGATACTTCTCAGATGCTTTAATTCAGATACTTCACAGCAAGGGATCAAACAGAAGATTAGAGGTAACATTTATGGGATTTACAAGCATTTTCTATTTACAATTTGATAGCCTGATTTCATCTGATCCTCATGGCTGTCTGAAGTACCATCTAGGGGATCGATCCAATGGAAGAGAACAAAGCCAAAGGATAAAAAACGTTCACTAGTTCAAGTATCAGATTTAAAATATTTCAAACTAGCAAAACATTTTAAATAGGAACTGAACTATTTAAATAGGAACTGGGTACACCTGGCCCCAACTACGTAAGAACACTACTTTTGGAAATTTGGCCCAACCTGCTGTATTCAGTTTCTCAACCCACAAAAAGCTACCCCCATTCCCTGTGAATCAGTGTCCTCCTCCGCCCCGCCCCCTCATTGGGGGAACAGGAATTACCACTCCCCAAAAATACAATGGCAGGTTCACAGAAATCAGTTTAATATAACACTGTTCCAAGAATATTTGTGTGCGCACATGAACATGTATGATTAATATATCCATAACCTATTTGATTTATAAAACATTTGGTACTCACTTCGATCTATTGCAATGACTGAAATGTTACACTGCTTGTTCGTCCTGTCTTGCTGATCTCTGTCCAAAAGTGTAACAGTTCTGAGCTCGCCTGAATTTTCATTAATGGAGAGCCATTTGCATTGCTCAGGTGGAATCCGATAGCTAGTAAACATAAAAATGGTTTTTTTTAATTGCATAATGCTTCTCTCTCTCTCTCATATCCCCAAATATTATGTATTTAATAAATCCAATAATAAAATGTACACCTTATGCCTTCGCTATTTCCGGTTTCTGGGTCCTCAGCTAGGTATTTGCCGACCACTGTTTCACCTTTAGCGCATCCGTCAATCGTGATACGTAACAAACAAGGTTTGAATACTGGCCCCTCATCAACATCTTGTACAATAACTCGAACAGTACAGGTGCCCTGGGCAAGTGCACTTGAATATGGTACTATCACATAAGGTATCTCATTAGCTACGGTAATCTCAAGTATCTTTAGCTGGCTGGTTTCGTAATTTAGTCCCTGTAAAATAAATTTATGGCTAGTAAATTCACCAAAACCTACTATAAGTTTTCTTATCACAGTTTCTAATAGTAGAAAAAGCCAAAGTCATAACGGTCATGATTTTAGAAGAGGACTAGTTATTTTAGACCTCTCAATTCTTAGGTATCCAACCTGAGAAACCTTAAAGAGACCTGATTTTCAGGAAGCACTAAGAAAAAAAGTGGCAGCATCCCTAGCATGGCATAAGGAGCACCACAAAACAAAGTTACATTTGTAACGCTTTATTTGCCTCTTTTTCACCCCAAGGGCCATAGTTTAATTCCTTAACATGGGCCTGGTCTACACTCAGAGCTCTGAACAATTTTGCATCCTGAGAGCTGTGTACAAGCTGACCTAACCCCCAAGAATTCTTCCCTCTTGAAAGGTGGACTTCCTACATGGGTAGAAACACCTCCTTTCAACAATGTATGAAGCATGTATACTATGGTAGAACTGCTGCCACATCATAGCTGTGTTACTGTAGCTTAGCCACTAGGGATGCCAACATGTAGTCAACCATACAATTAACCAATAAGCCTGTATCAGAGTCAACAAGAGAAGGCGGGAGGGAGCTGGTGTGGTAATGAGCAGCAGCAGGATGGAGGGGGGAGAAGGGGTAGGCTTTCAAGCCAGCTCCCCCACGTATCGGCTCCACAGACCTGGTTTCCACACATACACACCCTGCTTGCTGCCTCTTACAGTGGTGGGGAGAGGGGGACAGGAAGATGACAGTAGCTCCTCATTGCTGCCTGCCCATACTGCTGCCTATATCTGAAGCAGCAGCACAGAGGGCAGGCAAGGCTGCAAAGTAGTCTCTGTCCATGGTGGGCTGAAGTCCCCACAGAGAGAGACTGCTCCACATCCCACAGAGCAGGCTCTGTCTGTGGGGAGCTCAGACCCTCCCACCCCCTGATAGGAGCTGCTGCCACGCCCCGCAATGCTGCCTCTAGATCAGAGGCAGCATCGCAGGGCAGCAGGCATTCGGTCTGCAAAGGGAGCTTTGATACTGGGGTGGCAGGGAGCTCCCTGGGAACAGGGTCAGGAGTGCACTGGCTGCCAACCCTGAACTTGGGGACTACTGAATAGTTTGTATCACCAATATTATTTTGTGCAGTTACATGACAATTCAATTACACTATAACATCCATCCCTACTAGCCACTGCAGTGTAAACACACCCTGACTTTTTCCCCCAAGAATGCTTGCAGTCTTTCCTTCCTGCTGTCACAATTCAAGAATATTTACCTATGAGAAATGCCTATGGGTACCTGGTGAGAATTTAACTATGGGCAAGAGTCTCTGAACTTGCAGTGCAGCTGCCATGACAAGGGTTTTGGGATTTTTTTTTTTTTAAACATGACATCCATGCTGTCCATAAAGGCCATTTTCTCACCTTTCAAAAGGAGTAAGCCTCCCTTTTATAACACTAAGGGATACCAGATTGCTTTTACCCTTTCGGAAATATTGATAAACACATTTGAAAAAAAACAACAACATATCCTTGAAAAGTTTTAATTGCCTAGCACTTTCCAATGTAAGATTCTCCTCTTTAAGAGGACAAAGGTGATGAAGCCACGTTCCCTACAGCAAACACGGACATTACGGAGAAAGGCAGGTATTAACTCTTAAGCCAGAACAGAAAGCTGTAGCAGAATTGTTAGAACTGTTACATTCTGCGGGCCAATGAGTAGAAGTTGACAGTCTATCATTATTATGGAAAGTATACTTTCATCACAGCAGGGTTCTGTGTATTTAAAATATAAATCATATCTTAAGCAGAAAGCTAGCCATGCCCATACTCACTACAGTAACTCTCTGCTACTTACATTTCCCAAGCGCATATTCATCTTCTGCCCACCTTGGGAAGTACTAAAAAAAGATGTGAACTTAAAAAGGTTCCCAGTTCAGGTTGATATAGCCCTGTTTCAGATTACTGAAAGACCCCATACCTTGTCACAACCAGAAAACCAAATATGGAATTTTAGGTCTAGCTCTTATGGAATTAAAATTTAACACAGCCCCCTTCTGTACTCCACCCCGCAAAAACATTAGCAAAAGTCCCCAAAGGAAAATATATCTGAATAGTTTTCCAATCTCACTAAATATATGAAATCTGCTACACTTTGCAGAACCCTCCCTCGCCCCCCAAAAAAACCACCCACCTACCCTCAAATAAGTATCAGATTAATTTGTTTGTTCAATTAAAAAAGGAAGCAGAGCTAATATCCCACAGATAGAGTGTAATTAGCTAACCAGAATTTATAGCTTCAACAAAAAACAACTAACTCCCAGGATTTGGGCTTATGTTTTCATCTTTGCTTACCTTAACAACACATAATATCCCTTCATTTGTTCTTTTATCTGTTGTAATAGCAAAATGATTATCTTCATTTCCTTTTACAATAGTGAATTTGCACTGCCAGGCAGTTGAGTTGGGCTCATCCTTGTCCAAACAAGGAATTCTCAGTATTTCCACATTCACTCGGTTTTCCTGCACTCTTACTTCATACTGAAATAAAGTTATATTATCTATTTTTAAAGTAAATATAAAATGCAGTATCTATTACACAGTTCAGAAAAGATGTTTAAATGCAATGCCTTAAATTCAATGGCAAGTTTAAAGCTTTGATAATAAGATTTGGTTTCTTCTATTTGGTTTTTTGGTTGGTTTTCCGCAAGGGAAGTATTAAGCGCACTTCTGTGACTGTATTCAAAATTCTCCGGTGGAACCCTTAATTCTACTCACTTTACTTGGACCAAAATGTTATTTGAAGAATGTTACCTTCCCAATTAGAATGCTTAATTGATTGTTTGTTTCTCTAAACAATTAAACAAAAGCCTCACTACAGCAGCTTTATAGTTTAAATTGATATGGGCTAAAACCAGAATAAAGCTCTCGTGCCAGAATAAAAGCATCCTTTGTGAGGAGTTATACCAGCATAATTATAGCAGCTTAAATTCACACTTTTTTCTCATACCAGTATAACTTCCTGTGTGGAAAAGCCCTTAGATGTTCTAGCTCAGTGTTTCTTAAACTTTAAGACCGAGGAACACTGAACAATGTGTTTTAAATTGGGGAACATCAAGGAAACATAAAACGAAGCTTGCCCCTTTAAGGGCAGCCATTTCCCAAGGAAAGGTTGTTGACCAAAAAAAAAAAAAAAAAAAGAAAGAAAGAAAAGAAAAAGAAAAGCACCGCCAGGGAAAAGTTGTGAAAATGAAAAAAACTGAGGCTTGTCCCTTTAAGGGCAGTCATTTTGAATTTTGTTTTCTCCAAGGCACACCTCTGACTGCCTCACAGCACATCAGTGTTGTCACGGAACACTCTTTAGGAAACCCTGCTCTAGCTGGATGACTAGAAGCCAGTCTGAGAGAATAGTGAGACTTTGCATCTAGCCTCTGTAATAGAGATACTTGAGAAACATGGTATTTGGAGACCAGACACACAGGGGAGAGTCACTCTTGGAGAAACTAACAGGGTCCCACCTAGATCCCACAGAGCTCTTTGGTCTCCTTGGGAAAAAACAAACAAACATTAGGTCTATTCTAACTCTAGAGGAAACCCCACGTAACTTTGGCTTGTAATGAAACATTAGATTAGATAAGAGTAAATAAAACTATTTTTAAAAATAGCATGAATAGTTTTCTAATGCTTTGTTCCACTGTCTAATAAACATACTTCTTGTAAAAAGGCTGTTGGTCAATGGACATCATTGATCACAGGATACCTTAAGAGAGCATCAAGCATGTGCCTGAATCTGACTTGGCCTACTCAGTTGACCCAGGAGGGGTATTTTTTTTAAAACAGATTCTGCTCTAAGAAGAGAAAAATGAAAAGATTCTACTCCAAGACAGGTAAGGGTATGAGACCCAACACCTCAAGAGTCCAGAAAGGGGTCAGAGGCTAAGTTCCCTCAAAGGTCTGTGGCCACTAACTGACAATAAAGTCTTGCACTGTGGTTCAGTTTCCATGGAGATGGGGGCCCTCCTTGCTGGAGCTAGACCTGCTTGGGCCTAGGTATAGGGAGGCCACAGAGCTCCACATTCTGTCCTGCCCCGACCACTGGCTCCACAATTAGACAATGGAAGTTGGCAATTGGCTAATAGGAGCTTGAGGATCGGTCTTGCAAGCCAGAACAGTGCACACAGCATGCCAGGGAGCCTCATGCTCCTGCCTCTTTTTCCCCATCACCCCCAGAAGCCAGATCTGCTGGCCACTTCCAGGACACAACGTGGTGCCCCAGAACAGTCAAGCACCAGGCAGCCTATCTTAATGCTGCTGCCCATGAGCTGCTCAGGTACACCCAAGCCCCAACTGCCTGACTCACCATAAGCTCCCACCCAACCCGTAACTCACATGCTGTGAGCCCCCCCAAAGCCCACAACGCAGTCCATAGCCTGTACCATCTCCTGCAACTCCAAATCCTAGGCCTGTGCCCCTCCCCAAATCTGGAGCCCCCCTCGGGTATCCCAAACGTCACATCCCTGGGCCCACCCCAGAGCCCTCATCCCCTCCCGCACAGTAACTCTTTGCCTCAAGCCACAGGCCCCTCTTTTATTCCAAATCCCGCTGTCCCACACCACTGCCAGTCTGGATCCCCCCCCCCTTCTATACCTAAACCCCTCATCCCCAGCCCTACTCCAGAGTTCAGCCACAGCACTCACTCCCTCCCATACCCCAACTACCTGCCCCAATCCAAAGTCCCCTCCCACACACAAAGGCTCCATTTAAAGCCCTTATCCTAAGCCTCACCACACACTGTCCATATGCAGAATGACTTATGTCATACATCACCTACATGTTGGTGTACATAACAAAAGTCACTTCACACATGGACATAAAAAATTAGGGAGAAACACTGGACAGAGGAGCAATCAACTCCACAATTGTGACAGACACAAAAACTTACAGATGAAATGCTAAAAATTGGAACATTGTCATTTATATCATCAACGATAATGACAGCTGTTGTTGTATTGCACAAACCAAAAGGCTGACCTCCCATATCTCGTACTTCAATTAACAATATATGTTTGGCTAATTTCTGAAAAACAAACATTAAAAAAAGGTTAGAGAACTTTCACATTCATATTACTTTTACCATAGAATTAAATTATTTATTTCCTTCCCTGCCTTTCTAAAGATATAACATTAAACATGCAAATATTTTCTAGGAAAAGAGAAATCAAACCACCAGCTTTATGGATAGAAAAAAGTAAAAGTGCGAGTAAAATATTTTTCAGTGACTAAACAATACATGGAGCTCAAAGTTTTACTGGAAACCTAGAGTCATGTTGTCCAACAGAAGGATCTTTATAATGTCCTAAATCCACAACTATTTTCCCTTCCCTTAAAGAAAGCCCACAAACGCATCCACATGGCAGCCATTTCTCCTCCATCATATGCACAGTGTTGTCTGCTGGGAAAAGTAGCAAGGTGTTCTATATAGTCTGATACTGTCTGGTGGAAGGTAGAAGTTTCCCGTATATTATGCTGTCTCCCCCCTGGATCTTCTGATGAATAGCTTCACCCTTTATTTCCCCTCTCTCACACTTCTGGCTAATGAGATTTCCATCCTCCCCTCCCACTGCTCATGGAGGAAGAAAAACAAAAATACATCCTTCATTGCAACTTTTAGTTCCATAATCTCATGCTGCCCCCTCTCATGCTACATCTTGAATAGAAAGAACAGAAATGCTCCTGTGATGAATCTTTGTTCATAAGGCATGCTTGTCAGCAGGTCCGACAATGCAGAAGCAACACACTTTTTACACAGCCCAGTAAGATCATAGGAGGCGGGGAGGGAAATCAAGTATTTAACACTACTATAATTTTAGTAGTTATAAAATGCATACCAATAATCTGAGTAGTTACTTAAAATACCCCCACCTGAGAGAGTGGCTCTAAGGGATCAGAACACCCTAGATTTGCTGGTCTAAGTTTGGTTTATTGGGTTGGAGAGGATAACTTTGCTTCATAAAGTCCTAACATTCATCTGTAGGAAATAAGTATTAATCTGTACTCTACAATCAAGATTCTTTTTCCACTGCCAACACCTTAATATTTCTCATTCACTAGACCCACAATCTCAACATCGTTCAAGGCTTTGTCTACACAGAGAAAATTGATAGGTATAGCTATTTCACAATATTCCTCTGTATGGCACGTCAAGCAATGCTGGCAAGGTATGTCAGGCCAGATCTACATTGGAAAGGAAAAGAGTCAATGCTCCTCTTGACTTTCCTTATTCCTCATGATAACAAGTACCGAGGTGAACGGGGGTGGCCTCAGCCTTTGATTTAGTGAGTCTTTACTAGACCAGCTAAATCAATTCCTGAAGGATCAATCACCAAAGTATCGATCCTCTGGCAAGTGGAGATGTGGCCTCAGACTGCCAATTTTGCTTTGCTGATCTCATATTGGATAAGGGAAGTAGAAAAAGTTCAGATTCAAGTTCTTCTGTGTTTTTCCCAAGCTTACAGGAGATTCTTGCTTCTAAATCATTGTAGACAATTTGAAACCATATATTGTGCTTTTTTCATCTCATTAAAATGTTGCATACTTCTCTGAATATATCAGAACTATGAAGTGAAACTATATATTATATTGTAGATTTAAAAAAAGTTACCTCTCTATCCAGTTGTGATGATAGTGTGCTTATTACACCCGATTCAGAATTAATAGAAAATATTTTGGGTGATGATGGTTGTTCTGATACAATTCGATATCTCAGGGAAGTATGCAGAGTATTGGGTTCATCTCGGTCTTTTGCCGTGACTTGTCCAACTATTGTCCCTGTATATACAGAACAATTTTAAATTCAAAAAAATCCTCCAAGTAACGTAGTTTGAAATTGATTTTGAAAGTGTTTGTACACATAAAATAGAAACAAACAAATGTTGCTCCTTCACACATGACAATTTGGGGGAACCTGTGTATTTCTATCTGGAGATATTTAAGAGCACGTTAGATAAATGTCTATTAGAGATGGTCTAGACAGTACTGGGTCCTGCCATAAGGGCAGAGGACTGGACTCAATGACCACTCAAGGTCCCTTCCAGTTCTAGTGTTTTATGATTCTATGATTCTGAATATTGTGTATATGTGTAGATCTTTATCCAGCTACAGATTTCATTTTGAATGTGCTGCTTGTTTGTCTTTACATTGGACTTGAATTCCAACGGGTAGTTGTCAAGGGTTAAAACAGTGTAGAGACATGAAGTCTGGATGGTCCACTAATCAAAAGGAAGAGAGATTAAAAAGGCTTGGACTTTTCATCTTAGAAAAGAGGAGGTTAAGGGAGATGGGTTAAGGGGGCGGGGGGGGGGGGGGGGGGGGGGGAAGATACAATAGAGGTCTAAAAAATCATGACCGGTGTGGAAAAAGTGAATAAGGAAAAGTTATGTACTTGTTCCTATAATATAAAAACTAGGGATTTCCAAATTAAATTAATAGGTAGCAGGTTTAAAAAACAAACAAAAAGGAAGTTTTTCTTTATGCAGCAGACAGTCAACTTTTGGAACTCCTTGCCAAAGGATGTTGTGAAGGCTAGTACTTTAACAGTGTTTGCAAAAGACCTAGATAAATTCATGGAGATTAGGTCCATCAATGGCTATTAGCCAGGATGGGTAGGAATGGCGTACTTAGCCTCTGTTTGTCTGGAAATGGATACCTGTTATGTTAATTCCCTCTAGGACAACTGGCATTGGCCACTGTTGGCAGACAAAATACTGGGATAGATGGACCTTTGGTCCGACCCAGTATGGCTGTTCTTATATTCTAAGCCAAGAAGTTACTATCAGTGCATATCTACACTACAAGCCATTATTTTGAAATAATAGTAAGCTGGAGAACGTCTTACTCTGACTCCTGTAACCCTCATTTTACAAGGTGTAAGGGAAGTTGAAGGAAGAGTGTTCTTCCTTTGACTTCCTGCTGTGCAGACAGCTCCAAAAGCCAAATTAAGCTATTTTGACTTATGCTATACAATTGACGTAGCTCAAGTTGCGCAGCTTAAATTGAAAAACTCAATGTGTAATAACTATCAAAAGAGAGTATTAGAAACCATTAGGAAAGGGAATGATTATAAGACAGAAAACAATATGTCACTGTATAAATCCATGGTAGGATTACACCTTGAATACTATCTGCAAGTTTGGCTGCCTCATCTCCAAATACATCATTGGAAAACAAATGGAAAGAAAAAAGCAACAAAAAGAATTCAAGGTATGGAACAGTTTGGATATGAAGAGAGATTAAGAAGACTGCCTCTGTTCAAACAATGCACAGTCAACCTGCGTAACTTGTTGGCAGGGCGTTTCGTGAAAGCCAAAAGTATAACTGGGTTCACAAATTATTTTGACAAGTTCATGGAAAATGGTCCTTCATTGTCTGTTAGCCCAAGTAGTCCAGGGATACAGAGGCTGGGACTGAATGAGCAGTCTTGGTTATTCCCCTGTTCATTCTCCCTAAAGCAACCAGCTCTGTCCATAGTCAGATGACTGGATAGAGAGTTAAATGGACAAATGGTGTGAATTAGTATCACGTTAGATACACTTTTTGCACTGAGTGCACAGAATCTTTTTCAAGATTCTGCTCTACTGTAACTTCTAGTAGTCTTGAAGATTATACGAGAATTATCTAAAAATCCTTCCTATACCAAATGCAGTAAGGCCAAGAGTTTCAAGGATTATTGATTTGCGTGTGTACATAGTTAGCCATGGACAAATTATCTGGTATGCATACACAGCTGTGAATATAGCATGCAAATTGGAGTTTTGCAAATTTTACGTAGACTAACTGGAAGGAAGCCCTTCAAAAATGTAGCCTTCAGTGTAAAAATACCGATTAGTTATTTCTACTGAAAAACTGATCAAACATCAGAACTATACATATTCATCACTTGGGTATGTCACTATTGGAAGCTGATATTTTAAGATATTGATCAAAAATATTTAAAAAAATAAAATCACGCTTACCAGATTTGCAATGTTCCTTAACATGAAACTGAAAACAGTCTTCTGTAAACTCTGGTGCATTATCATTATCATCCTCAATTTTGATTGTATGTTCCAGTGGTGTCTCTAATAGGTAGCCATCTGCAGAGGTTGCATAGCAAGTTATCTATAAAGGAGAAAAACACCCACTTAGTTGCCAGCTGTTCTAGAGCAGACAAATGTTCTTTTTCTGCCCAATGGATAACAGAATCTACAGATTAATTTCTGAAAAGTACAACATGTCAAATGTACCCTTTTCATAAGCAGACAACATTCAATAGATGTAAATTTGGCTTATGTCTGCAATAAATATTTTGCAGCTATTAGTATACAGGCAGTCCCCAACTTACGCGGATCCGACTTATGTCGGATCCGCAGTTACAAACGGGGCTTTTCTCGCCCCGGAGGACGCGGGCGGCGGGACCGCCCAGACGTGCCACGGTCCCGTCTACAGCTGCTCTGCCCCGGGCTTCCTGGAATCAGCCGCTGATCAGTTTCAGCAGCGGCTAACTTGGGGACACCTGGGGAAGAGCAGCTGGGGTGCTGCCGGGCTGGTCCCCGCAGCGCTGAACTGCGGTGCTGCGGGGACCTACCCGGCAGCGCCCCAGCTGCTCTGTCCCAGGCGTCCAGTTTCAGCCACTGTTGAAAATGATCCAGCTGCTCTGCCTTGGGCTTCCTGGAGTCAGCCGCTGGTCAGTTTCAGCAGCGGCTGAATCTGGACGCCAGTTCCGACTTACATACAAATTCAACTTAAGAACAAACCTACAGTCCCTATCTTGTACGTAACCCGGGGACTGCCTGTATACTAATCTTTCCTTGCTGACCACAGAAGACCAAGATGAGTTCTTGCTAACCAATGGTGCACTGTTTTTGTTGTTCTCTTCTCCTTTTGTTACCAATGGCTTTTACTTCAGGACAAAGTGCTAGATTCAATTTAAGTAACAAATCTGTCTTCAGTCAGACGCAAGAGCAGAAGACTGGTTTAGATTGGAGGTGGCAGAAGAAATGCATTTAACTACTTCACAGTGTCATTGACAACCATTTGCCTTATTTTGCATAGTTGCATGTGAAAGATTTCCATCCTGAAATCTGAAAACATTGAAGAACTTATATTTGACCCTGTCACTCACCAACCCATCTTGTATCCAAGTGTCATATTGAGACGTGCCCATTGAGAGTCCAGCTTTTGGGAAAAGAATGGAAAGGAAAGTCAAGGGAGCGAGCAGTACCAGCACCTTTATGGGATGGGACTATGTATACATTAGGGATGTCATGTAGACAACTACATGATTAACTGATAAGCCTACGTTTGTCAGTTTAACTTTGTTGACTACCTGCATTCACCCCCACACCACTTGCTGCCTCTGGGGGGGGAAGCTGGAGGGAGTGCCCACGAGGAGCTGGCTTCAAGCAAGTTTCCCCACAAGCACCAGATCTGCCAACTCTCCCCCAACTCCCATGTTACTGCCTCTGATAGAGGGGGAGCAGAGCAGGCTGGAGCTGATATGCATGGGGAGCCGGCTTTCAAGTTACGTTATCAGTATTGTATAAACGAAGAGTGACCAAGTACAGCAACTCAAGCATTTAAGCAGAAGAGAGTAGCAAAATGAATTGCAATAGACATAACTGACTACCTGTGTCTCTCATTAGCTTTCTTTTTATTTAAGACATTACCCTGGGTAACCAACTGCCAAAGAAGAAAATAAAGGAAGCAATTCACTGGAAAATAAACAGGAGGGAAGCACAATCAACGAACAAATCTAACATGCAATGGAATTTTTAATCTGTATCTTAAGTTTTTTTACTACTTCCCTCTCAGAGGGTATGCGTACACTACGGGGGGGTTTCGGGATACAGGAGGAAAAAACTCTGAGGTGTCCAGGAAATGCATTTGCTCTTCTGCTTTTTTTGTGAAAGAGGAGATGCGCTTTTTCGGAAGCCCTATCTTCCTCAGTTCATGAGGAATAAGGGATCTTCTGAAAGAAGGTTTTTTTCTGAAATTTGGCCCAGTGTAGAAAAGACAAATTTTGGAAAAGTCTTTTCCAAAAAAAAAGCAGAAAAAGGTACACAAAATGCGCAGTATATTCTGCATACCTTTTTCTGAAAAAAAGTTGTAGTGTAGGCATAGCCAAAGTAATAGCTTCTTGCTGTGCAGGGAAACACTCCATTGTTCTTAAGAAACCAGCAGGGAGCAGGCATCTCCATGTCTCCCAGCTCCTTATACCTTTCAACCAGCAGAGAGAGCAGTTTACCCATTTAACAAACATTACAACTGAACAGAAAAAGCAAATGCTGCAGAACTAATATAGTTGTCTTATCTTTGTCGGATTTTAATTTTACATGGACTTTTTGAATTCTTCCACCAGAAAAGAGAAAAGTGCTATAAAGCTAGGTCTTCCTTCACCCATGCCACCAATTTCTGCCCATAAATATCAGAGAGAATTTTGAGACAGTTGTCTGAATACTGGTGCATTTTCCTCTCATTCCTGTTAGGACATACCAGGGAAGTATTAGCACTAGAAATGAAAATACTAATGCATTTAATTGTGTGTTCAATCTAGGTCCTTACTTTAAACATTGGATACTCTTCACGGTCTACTGGGCCAGTAGCAAAAATATTCCCATTTTTGTCCATGTAAAACAAACCCACTGGCTCTTTATCAATTCCAGGACCAGTTGCAGAGTAATAAACGGTGTGGTATTGGGCTGCATCAGACTGGACCTAGAGTTTGTTAAACAAAGACAAAACAATTCATTATTAAACGGTGTTCTCAACATAAATACGGAATAGAAAACACAGGCATGCTTTGGAAAGGATGTATAAAATCCAATTCTTATTTTTCCCCCCCCCAAAGTACTACAGCAACTCAAACTCTTATAAAGAATAGGGAAATGATCTGCTCAGTGCCATTCTTAACTACCTTTGTATTAAATGCACTTGTGAGAAAGGTCGCTAATCCTTCACAAATATCAGTGGAAGGAAATCCAGCTTGAAGAAAAGTACACAGGGAAGTGAAGTTGTGAGTAGCATTCTATTTAAAAAACGTTTCCTGCAGGATGACAGTGTCATGTGCCACTCTGCATCCCGCAGCCCCTCCTTCCGCCCTCAGCCACATGGCCTCCCCTCTCCCCAGTGCTTGGTGGGAGCCATGAGACATGTGGCCTCCCCCATAGTTGGCTGGGCTTCCTGCAGCTTTTGCTCAGCCTGACTCCCCCAGCCGCTGGGGGGAGAGAGCCAGGCCTGCCACAGCAAGGCTTTGGGCATCAGGGGACAGGAGCCACAAGCTGTGTAGCTCCCATGTCATGTGGCTTCCCTCCTCCCCAGTACTCCGGGGAGAGGCCGCGTGGCCTGCATACTTTGTTCCCAAAGCAGGGCTGTGGGGGGCATGCAGCAGGATGGGTGGCAACAGGGCTGGGATGGGGAGGGTAGCTGGGAAGCAGGGCAGTCTGACTCTGCTCAGTCCTGGACACCTTGGGTCACACTCAGGAGCTCCTTGAGAAGAACAAAGGCAGATGAGGCCTCCACTTCCCTCTCAGTAAGCCAGGGTGGCACTGCAGGATCGGGCCCCAGGCAGAGATGCCCCACAGCCTAGAGCAGCTGGAAGCCAGCAGAGGTGCTTGTGTCCTACTGAATGCCTTTGGATATGGGTCGCTAGTGGGCAAAAGGGTGGGGGAAAAGATAGGCTGGCACTCCACTTCCTACAGAGAAAGGGACTCCCAACCCCACCCCACAATGCATGGGGTGTGTGGGGCTCCCTCAAC